TTTGTCAAAAGATGTGCAGACTACAGATTAATTTTCAAATCACACTCACAGAATTCATGGTTAGATATTCTGACAGTAACTGCTTGTCAATTTTAGGTATTGATACCAATGGCATTACTTACTTCATCTTTATAGTATTTTAGCAAGTATTTGGAGAGGGTGCTTTGAAGTCTAATTAGTTGGGCACTTATGAAATAGGAAGTTCTCTATGATGGAAATAACTTTTGGGCTAATAGATGTACATATATATTTAATATTTCTTAAATGTTCACACTTTTACAGATGCTATGCTCACTGACTGATGTGTACGATCTTAGGTAATATTCACAATGATCCTGTGAAATCTACAGATTGATTTCTGTTTGTGGATCACATATAATATTTGGAGACTTTGAAAACCTTCCCAACCTTCTGGGTGCAAGTATATGAGTCCTTTACAGAAGTCCTCTGAAAGCCAGGTACTTAGAACATATGAAGGATTTCAAATATTTCTCTTTTGTATTTTCTTTTTATTTCGAGGGGGAAGTAAGTCTTCTTGTTATTGTAATTAAAGATGTCTGCTATTGAGCAAGTTACTTATCTATATTGTCTCTTTTAAAGGAAGAAAAGTAAGTTTGATTTAACATCACATTATGGGATAGTTCTTTTGTATTAAGACTTGCTGTAGCCTGTGACTGGGAAGAAAGCATCAAAACACAAACGCTCATCTTGTTCCATTTCAGTTCTATTCTCTGACCATAAGTAAGCCATCTGATTGTTTCTGAAATGTCAGTTGCTCCTTTTAGATCTTATCTTCTAGGAAAACAATTTTTCTCTTTTAGCTATATAAATTCCAGTGATCCATTCTTTGAAAAGCCTATTCAAATGTAAAAATACGTACTTCAACCTAGCTTATGAATTGCATTTGAATTTTGATTTGTTATTTTTTTTGAAACTGATTATTATTTCTCCTCTGTTAATTAGCAGACAGGATGAGTGAAAATGAATGAAAAAGGGGAGGTACAGAACAGTTGCTAGATGATAGGACAGCTTAAGAGTTTGCATTTAAGAACAGAAGTAGACATGAAGAAGGGCAAACATTCTTTAAATACCTGCTCTCCACAGGCACAGCTTGGGTATCTCTTATTTGAGGTGACTGGGTAAAGATATGTTTCAGATCTCAGAGTTTTAACTATTTCAGAATATGACATAGACTTTACTGGTTCATTATACCAGATGCAAAATCTAAAACTGTACTGTGTCAACATTCAAAAACTTTTGAACTTTGAAGCATTTTGTTTTTCAGAATAGGTGTGCTTAACCTATACTATACTAGGTACTTGACAGCTGGGCCAAGTTCCCAGCATTGATAGGCCATGGCTGGGGGCCATTCATTCATAGGATAATAGAGTTGGAAATAATATGTTATGGTTTAGATCAAGAATGTATCCTAAATTTTCATGTGTTCAGAGGTGAGGCTTTTGGATGTGAATATATTATGCAGGGAGAGAGCTATACTCAACAGTGGGTTGATGCACTGATGAACTGATAGATAATTGCGTTGTCAGAAGGTGAGGCCTGGTTGGCAGAAGCTGGGGATGTACCTAGGTGGGACTGTACCTTTGGAGGGCACATGACTTTCTTCAGGTCCAATTTCCTGTGTCTCTTAGATGCCATGAGATTAGCAACTTTCCTCTTCCATGACCTTCTAACATGAAGTTTCTGCCTTTGAGCCAGCCAGCCAGGGACTAAATCCCCTCAACCATGAACCAAATTAAATCTGTCCTCCTTTAAATTGTGTTCAGCAGTGGAAAAGGTATTATAGAATCTCTAAGGTCATTTTGTACCTCTTATCCATGATGTGATTCCCATCAGTAGGTACTTTCCTAGTCTCCCCTGGAACTCTAAACTTCCCACTATAGCTTATTTCATGGTTAATAATCTTAATTACTACAATGTTTTGCTTTATATGTTACATTAATCTGTCTTCATGCAATTTCCACTCACTTCCTATATTTATTCTTTGTATGTAGCAACTGAGATGAATCTGTTCTTCCCATGACAATTTTCTAAGCACTGGAAGTTGGCTATCAAGTAGCCCCTCAGGGCTCCTCTAAGCCTGGTGTTATCAGGATGACATTAGACTTACAATTAATGAGACCTGAGGCTCACAGGCTATATAAAGGGTTCCTGTACCATTCAGTTTTTCTTACCTCTGAACTAAGTGTGGCTCATCAAGATCATGTAACAGCTCCTTCTAAATACAGACTTACCTTGGGAAAATCATAAACAGCACCACAATCCAGATGATGTGAAACTGGATTTTAATACTAACTTTCAACCCTCATGTGGAGATTTGGTGGGCTGCACTCTGTCACGTTCATGCCCCATGCTCCCCTGTTGCCTGGCATGGCATGCTGTACAGTCTCAGTCCATCCACTCTCTTTCTCAGGTCAAGGGTCAACCAGTTTTATCTGTAGATGGTTCATTAAAAGAAACTCACAGTTTTTGATGAATGTGAATAAAACTGCCATTAACATTCACTGGAGGTCTTTGTTTGACATGATTTCACTTTCTGTAAATTATCTACAAATTGAATGTCTAGGTCAGTGTGCATAAAACTGGTATGCATGCCACAGTGAACTGCTTGCTATCACTGAAAGCGCTGAAAGGTTTGTCATCGCTGGTCTGGGTGGCAGAGAGCACATACTGTATAACTTTCTATGAAACTCTCAAACGATTTTCCAAGGTGGTTGGAACATTTTGCATTCTGCCAGAAGTGTATTGTAGTTCCAGCTCCTCCACATCCTCATCTGCCTACAGCTTTAACTGATCTCTTTCCGCACAGCCACTGTCTCACCCGTCAGCTATTCCCATCTCCAAGCCTTCAAAACTATCTAAAATCTTATTTCTCACTCTACTGCAGCTACCATTTTAGTCGAGGCAGGCACTGTTATCTTTCTCGATGTTTGTGATAGCTTTCTGCTTGCGTACTTGTTCATTTTCAGTGTATTTTCAACATGGCTGTTGAAATACATAGAGGACTTAAAAAATATCACTCCACTGTTTAAACCCTCAGTAGCTTCCTGTCTCAGAGAAGATGGTAAGGTCATCACAGAGGCACATCCGGTCCTCCCCTATCTGGCTCCAACTTTCTTCACTTTCCTTTCAACCTCCTTTTTCTTCTTGCTTTCCCTCCTCCGTGCTGTTCGTTGAACACACCAAGTAACCTTCCAGCTCAGGGCTCTTGCATGGGCTGTTCTATAGCTTCCTTCTTCCCCAGACGTGTGCGTATGGTTCTCTCTCTCTCTTCCCTTAATTTCAGTAATATTTCATGAGGCTGTTTCTTGTTTGGGACAACAAATTATAAGTCAAGGGGATGTCCAAGCCTGTTCCCATTCTACCCTTTGATCCAGATTGGAATGTGGAAACTCCCTGCTCTTTTCTGGTCACAGCTGGAAGCCCTAGGGCTGGTGACTGCTGCAGTGCTCCTAGGGCAAGGTAAGAACTGCTGAAGACTGTAAGGACCTGGGGAAACTACAGTTTCCTCCTTGTCCCCATCTCATCCTTGTGTCCTTGTCCTTGCAGGAATGCTTTGTTCTCACCATGACTGTTCCCAGAAACACCCACTGCTCTCCCCCCATTGTCCTTGATGCAAATGTAATGAAAAATAGTGGTCTTTTGTTCCACTGGTCATCCCAGATCCCTGCTGTGGCCCTATTTTGTCTCTTGCTCTTTTTTCTTGCTGTGTGCCATAACTTCAGACAGGAGAGTGGGGACTCACTGCAGGAATTCCTGATAACTGGCTGTACAGAAGGTGTCTCCCATAGTTCCTGACTCTTTCATTTAAAATGGTACCTTCTCTCCACTTTCTATTCTATTTCCCTACCTGATTTTTCACCCATACTCAATGTCCATTGATAATCATATTCTACTGTGTGCCAAGACCAGTCTAGGCACTCAAGATACAGCATGAAATGAAATAATCAAAAATATCCACCATCATGGAATTTATACATATGTTTCTAGTTATTTGGCTTCTCAATTGCTCCCCATCCACTAGAATTAAAGCTCTGTGATAAAAGGGATTTCGTCTGTTTTGTTCAAGCTGTATTGCTAGTGCCTAGATAAGAGGCTGGCAAATACCAGGCCCTCAGCAAATACCAGCTGTTGCCATTTTTTTCTTGTTCCCAAATAAAAAGCACCCCTGCTTCCAAGCTTCATTGATGTGGAATAGATTCCTGCAGAGTCCTACTTTGGACCTTGAGGGAAGCAGCCTGTAAAAACTGAAGACACAATTGAATTGCTAATTAAAATTTGGAACCAGTTCAATTCTATGATTCTCTGAGAAAAGAGTTTTAAATGGTGCAATAGCATTAATCCAATTTTCTATATGCTGAGGAAGAAACGTCTAGTTCTCCACAGGCAGCCTCTGCGGAGACCTAGGTTGACAAGCAGCTGGCTGCATTCAGCACTGAGGCTGGCTGCTCCCCAGGTTCCCCCTTCTATGGGAGGAGTCTCCTAATGCTACTGTCTAGATTAATGTCTCACAATGTGTGGTCTCTTTTTCACCTACATGAACACTGATCCTCTAGAGCCACTGAGTCAGAATTTCTGAAGGCAAAGCTCTGAAATCTTCCTTCTTCCTGGGCTCCTGAACTTGTTGGGGTAGAACTTGAAAACTGCCATAATATGCTTTAAAATATGTCTGAATTAGAACATCTGGAGTCAGGCAGATTGAATCACTACACTTGAAGGGAGTATGGCAATTATCTGGAAATGATGGATTGAGATTTTCAGGTGAGGGTTAGAAACTTTGATTAAAGCCCAAGATTAATATGTTAAGTGATGCCCTTGTTACAAATTGACTTTAGTTCCACTGCACTCACCATGTCCAAATTAACAGTGTCTCAGAATGTGACCTTATTTGCATGTGAGATCATTGCAGATGTAATTTGCTAAGATAGCATTGTACTGGAGTAGAGTGGACATCTTTATAAAGACTGGCATCTTTATAAAAGGACTCCATGTGAAGAAGAGAGACCAAAGAGAATATTACGGGAAAACAGGATTGGAGTGATACACTCACAGGCCAAGAAACACTGAAGAGTTCCAGAGAATCACAAGTACCTGGGGAGAGGTAAGAGAATTTCTCATATATTTCAGAGGGAACCTAACTCTGATAATACCTTGGTTTTGGACTTTTCCAGAACTATAAGACAATAGATTTTTATTTTAAGTCACTTAGCTTGTCATATTTGTCACAGCAGCTCTAGTAACTACTAGAGTCTTATTTAGGTTTCACAAATAACCAATATGCTATTGTTGAGAAGAAAATATTGATGAGAGAAGAGGCAAGATCAATAACATCAAGTATTTCTAGACCTCAAGGGATTTTAAAAGTAGGCTTGAAATTTTCCTGAAGTATAAACAAATTGAAGGACAGAGAGCCTAGAAAAATGCCCATACACATTAAAGCTGCTGCGTGATAAAATGTCATTGTTAGATCAGTGAGAAACAGGTTGACTGGGAAAATCGGCACTCTACCTGCAAAAAGAAAATCAGATTCCTATCTTATACAATAGCAACAATAATGAAAGCAATAATGATTGCTTCCTTTGACATTCCTTGGTGCTACTCTGGGTGGGTTTATGTTTTCTAATTGCATTTTTCCTCTTAATGAGAACTAGGCCCTATTGTAATTTTAACACCCTTATAGATGAAGAAATTGAGACACACTGAGGTAAAAATGGCCAAAAGGACAGAGATGTGAACCCAAGTAACTTAGCTGCAGATTCAGGGCTCTCAATCACTGTGCCATGCTGCTTTCTACCTTTGCAGAAACCAACTCTGGGTAGGTAATATCAGACTGTGAAACATCTGACTGAGAAAAAAAAACTTAGCAAAAAAATAAATGAAAATATCTTTAAGAATTCAGAATAAGCAATAAATAAAACAGGAAAAATATACATTATCAAGAAAAATGCAACATAAACTGTATAAACTTTTTGTTCATCAAAAGACATCATAATGAAAAGAAAAACGCAGCTATTTATACAGAATGTATAATCAACAGATGACAAATATGCATGTCATAAGAAAAGGTCTAGCAAATATCACAAAAGGACTGAAAAAAAAAAAAAAAAAGGCCCAGAGCATCACAGAAGAATGACTAATGGTTCAAAAAGATGATTAATTCCACAAGTGATTGAGAAGAAAAACGAATTTGCTCAGAGGAAATATTTCTTATTTGCTATATTGGTAGAGATTTAAGAAATCTGATGGTGCTAAATGGTGACAAGAATGTAAACCAATAGCAATCATGTGCACAGCACAGGAGATCTTGGGAGATCAATTTGCAGTATTTAGTGAGGTTGGAGATTTGCTTGCTCTGTGACTCAGCATTGGACTGTTATAAATATAACCTGGGACATCTTGCCCATAAGCTTAAGGAGTCAGGGATAAATGGTTTATAGTAGTGAACACTGAACAGGTTCAGTGGTTTAATCCACCAGTGAACACTGGATGAGATCTTGGTAGTATATTCATGCAATGAAATACTACACATGGGGAATCTATGTAGTCATAACCAAAAAGAACAGCTCAAAATACTACACATAATATTGGAAATTAAAGAACTAGATTCAAATATATTAATGAAAGAATCACATCAACATGTTCCTTGAGAAAGGGAGTTGCAGGAAAATCTATAAAGATTAAAAACACACACTTTAGTAGACTCTGTAAAGATTAAAAAATAAAGAAAAGGCATTCAGGTTAAACTCATACAATAAAGTACAAAAATTTCTCAGGGTTACACATGTATAGAGAATTATAGAGAAATGCAAAACTTGTGGAAAGCAAACTCAACTGAGGACAACTGTTGCCTTCGAAAGTGAAGTAGAGGGCAGAATTTGGAGCAGATGGACAGGCAACTTTAAATATAGAGTTAGTGATGGTTTATTTCTTAATCTACATAATGCATACATAGGTACTAGTATTATTCTTCATTTCATTTTCTCAGGTACTGTGAGTAATATTTTTAAGGAGAAGATTGTCACCCTTCCTTAAGGAAGAGATGGCCACTGGGTCATACCAGTGATTCATGTAGATGTCCAAAGCTGGGGCTCTGCGTTAGGAGAGATGGGAAGTGGCTGTGGTCTTTACTCCTCTGACTTCTCTTCATTGCCCTCTTCTCATTCCAGAACAATGATGGGAAGAGCTGTGAAAACCTCTTCAATTTATTCTGAGATCCAGGATCTCAGTCTTATCTTCCTCCGGGTTTACACAGTCTACTGTTCAGTGAGTACTTCTTCTTTTGGAGAATCACTGTGGTTTCCAGTCTTTGCGTTTGCCCAGCCTTTTTTGCTTCAGTGTTTTCTAGTGTCCTTTTATTAACATGCTCTTAGTGTACAGATTTTCTCACAAAATAAAGTGTGACTGACACACAGCCACTATTCCTTTCTAGGAGCCAAAGAGCCTTCTATTCAAACATTAAATAAGAATCCAAGAGTGTAGTGTTCAGTGACTCCTGTGTCCTATATATCTGTTGCATTCTAGCTCTGGGAATCCATGTAGTCACAACCAAAAAGAACAGCTCAAAAGATAGAAGTATTTTTCACTAGAGTTAATAAATCATCGTGGAATTGCTTATAGTCTCACATACCCCAAATGTCAACAGAAAATATCATTTTGGTTGTGGATGTTGTCGCTTAATTCTTTGCTGCGGTGAGCTTTGCCCAAATAGCTTTGTGTGGTAAACAGAATAAATCTGAATGCAGAATATTACTGTTAAAAAACAATGCCAATGATGCCGTCTTCTTACCAGGATGTTGTATATTTGACTCATTAATTTGTGAAGGAGTGAGTGGTATGGATGAGGGGCTTGCCACTCCTTTGTTTACACAAATTTATAAGGATCCAATGTAGCAAACCCTTCCAAAAGCTGGAAACATGTTATTTCTCCTCCTAGAAGATTTGTATCTTATTTTAAAAAATCATCATTTTGGTCATGGTGACGAATATTTGTCAGGAATTTGCTAATTATCATTATCGTAGGCTTTTTAGTTTGTTTTGTCAATTGTTGAGGACTGAAATCTGGTTCTACTATGTAAGCTGAATTTGGACGCTGAAGAATGGAAAGAGTTTTGTAATCTAAAACCAAAATGTTTTCTAAAGTGTAATAAAAGGATAACTTGGAAACAGTAAAAGGTATACTAGGGTTTTGTTCTTCTTTCATTCTCCAGGGGTGCTGCTTTGTAGAAGTTGTGTCCAGGATGGAGCATGGATGGAAGGACTGCCTTTGGAGTCTTGTTCATAAGGGAAAAAAATCAGGCTCTATTTAAAGCCCTTTTCTGGTTATTGAAATCTTGTGATGCTGGTATAATGAATTTTATCACCTGGTTATCAATCTTTTAACTGGGTCTAAACACTTTAGTCAGCCCTGTGACAAAATTTCTTTGGTAAATAATTTGCACTTTGCAATCATCTGGAATGGAAGAATTTGTGGAGTAATATTTACTTCTTAAAAACATATTTATTTTCCTGGGTCACTTGCATTTGCTTATTTAGCAAAGGAAAGGTGAAAAAGTCCTTGTTAGATTCTAAAATGCAGTCCATAAAAATAGATGTGTTTATCTTGTCTTGTTTTTGTTCTATATTAATATGCAAAACAATGCCTGCTGAGAAATAGATGCTCATTATCCCTAAAAGAAAGAATTAATGAGTGAATAGATGAAAGATTGAACGCTGAATGTTAACTGTTATGGTCTTCATATTTATGCTCCTACAATGTCAGAATATCATTTTTCTATGGCGGGATCTCCTGGGAAATGTGAAAAGCAGTAGAAAATGTCTAGAAAATAGAAAAGAAAGAAGCTGTTGGAAGTGCCAGCAGGTTAGGGTCCCTAATCAGCTTCTGTTTTATATACATGAGATTAAAGATTCCCTCTGAGTTTTGATTAAAGATGCACAGTTACAGATTAAATACTGTTAAGCCAAATTAGAAAGGGCTTTACTCCAATCTCTGGATTTATCAAGGCTCTCCTGCTCCCCCTCCTTCACATTAAGCTGTCTTTATAACATAGGATTAGAGTAAAATCATTGGAAGACTTCGTGTCCCCAGGCTCTCTGTTACCTTTCCTACACAGCTGTCCTCATTCAGATCACAACAAAATTCTCTTGTCAAGAATCAAAGCTTGTTTCCCCTTGAAGTTTGTGTTTATACCTGTGACTGAATTCATTCCAGTGCTTCTGCACATATTTATTTATTTTTTTGATCCGTAATGTCCTATATCAGATACAACACGCACTCTTGTCTCATGCATTGTCACGAAACATATTAAAACTTAGTACACTTGTCTATTTTAGAAAACACCTCCTTAATCATTCTGTAATTATGCAAATACTCCCACAGGGCCAACTATAAACATGTCCTTTCTTTCCTGAGAAGATTTCTGACTCTCTCTCTCCTTGGAAGCCACAGCAAAGGAATATGGCTAGAGCATGCAATTAATAACTCAGCTGAGGAGAGGTTAATATGGTCATCAGGTGTCTGAGGAATAAAACTGTCATTGCTTTATTAAGGACTGTAATTCAAGCACGAGCTTGTATGGTTACAACAAAACAATATTAAAAACATAAAAGACTGAGTTGAAAATGTTGATCTCAGTTCTAGACTGAATTTGAGAGGCTGTAAGTTTATGTTATTGATGGCTAAAGAATGAGGTCCATTGTTCTTTAAATGTGTCTTTTGTTGAAAGAAAGTGTAAGAGTCCAAAGAAACTCTCTAGACTTTGCTACCTGAGGTTCAATAGTCTGCTCAAATGGTTTCCTGGGATCATTGAATGTTGGAGACTCCATGTTTTATGTGACCCCCACATCTTTAGAAATAAGAAGATCAAGTTTAGTCACTTAGGATTTGCTCTTGGGTCTGTAGGAGGCAGCCAGAGGTTTGAGAAACTCAAAGTTATTTAAAAAGGTCTTCACTTATAAGTAGGGTCTCAAGTACACACATTTATAAATATTGTATTGTCTCCCTAGTATAAAAAAAATAAAAATCTGAAAGAGTAATAAGATCCAAAATATACATTAGATATTATAATAATGGAAGTGCTCAAAAGGATAGAACAACTAGGATAAGGGAAAGGAAAAAAGGAAGAAAGGAAAAGATTATATGTATGTTGGTAAATACATAGAAATGTATGTATGGATACGTATGCTAGATAGATAACTGTACTACTAATCTCGGTTAGTTCATCAAAAAGAACAGTTTGTGCTGTCATTGATTGATCTCTTTTGTGCCTAGATTTTTTAACCTGTACAACTACTTCTAAGATAACAATATGCAATATATTAACTAGTGTTATTTCCCTACTTTTTAAAAAATTCAGTATCATTTCTATCCTTTTTTTCTATTTTTCTTTTTAAAGTTAAAAACAATAAAAAGGTATTCAAATTACCCTCTTTTATGAGTCCATTAGTACCAAAGAAGATTAAGAGAAATGCAATCAGCCCAACTCTGGATTCTTATATATAATCCGGATATATGAAAAAGAACTCGATCAGGCAATAACTTGGAAGAGTCCTGAGAAGGATGCTAATTCAGAACTTTTAAAATGTAATTTCTATATGAGAATGCAAAATGTTGTTTGTTTATTGTATGAACTGAACTCAACAAAATAGAGAATGATTTAATTTTTCTTCATCTGTTATACTTACATATATGCTCCATCAGATCATTTTTCCTTTTTCTTAGATAAAATCTAGAGAAAATTCCATAGATTTCTTTTTCTTTTCATGCTTTTAGAGGCGTCCTGTTTTGCTAAGATTCACGGTCGAGTGTTGGAATAGCCCAGTCCAGTCTAAATCCAAATTTCAACCTCATAGTCCTCTCTTTCTCTGAGCCTCTCTCTTTGTCTCCGCTTCGGTCTAGGAAAGAAGCGTGGTCCTTCCTTGTGCTACACATTTCCTCTTCTTTATTTTTTCTACCTCATGCTACTAGCTCTTCCTGGCTCTAGGCACAAGAAAGCTAGCATAAGAGGGAAAAGGAAAAAGCATTTTTACTTAGGACATGTTCTTTGTGGGTTTCTCTTGCACTGTTCATGTCTGTGATCCAAGTGAAAAGCCTTCACACGCTGGCTTATTCATCTGTTATGCATTTTTCTGTGTGTGTGCTCTCTGAACATCCTGCATGGGTGACAGGAGATGCAGCGTGCAGTTGACCTCTTTCGACTCTCTCTCCATCTCTGTTACTGCTGTGCTATTTCACAAAGCGCATTGTGTCCCTCAGGATGACTGAAGCCTGGCTACCTCCCAGTACTCATGAAATTCACAGGACACTTGGGTCCTTGATATTCCAAACTCCAGATGATTCTGAGGTAGAGCCAATTTCCTAATTTTTCTTAACTCTGTGTAGACTGTTGCTCATTGATTTTTTGCTTCTTTTGATAAAGAATTTACATGTAGGTGATACAAAGCTAAGTAAAACAGCACTCCTCCTCTCCAAGAATATATAATCTGAGACGTTTATAATCCATAAATATTTGTTGTTGCAGAACTGCAAAGTTCTTTGAGACCCTTCTGTGACTTGGGGAACATTATTAATACATGGGCACTCTAGAGTGTTTAGAGCAGCAGGATAATGGATTCTCTGCTTCAGGGCTGGCACTATGTTTTGGTTATGGTTTTCTAGAGCCATAGAAGCCACAGGGAAATTTGTCTATCTGCCTATCTATTTATCTGTCTCTATCTATCTATTTATCCATCTATCCTTACAGAAAGGGATTTACTAGATAGGTTCACAGGATGCAATGTGAGATGACCTACAGTGGCTGTCTACACAGTGCAGTGCACAGGATCCACTGGCTGCTCAATCCAAAAGGCCGGAAGCTGCAGAGTGAAAGGGCCCAGGATCCAGTGCTGGTCTGAGGCTGAATGCCTGCAAGCTTTCTGGAAAGCTGGTGGTGTGAGTGCTCACTGAAAGATTGAAGAACTGGAGTCTGATTTCCACAGGCAATGGCAGCAGGTTGTGCTCACGCTAAAGGGAACTTCGGAGTGGAGGCCAACGTCCTCTGTCTTCCCCCTGTCAGTTCCATCAGGACTGCAAGCCCGTCGGACGATGCCGCCTATGAGCACGGCAGGTCTGTTCACTCAGTACTCTGACCTACGTGCCAATAAATTCTGGAAACACCTCCACAGACATGCAGATGTGTGCTTTCCAACTCAAAAGCTATCTGAATCCAGTTCAGTTGAGGTCAAGACTAACTGCTGCACACTGCAAACGCACAACTCCTTTACATTCCACTATTTATGCTTTTTTCACCCTACTGTAAATTTTGAGAAATTCTAATAAACTGTTTGAATTCTAGCTTGGGTCTCTTTGGCAATGTCCTAATGGTCACTGCATTGAATAACACGGCAGGCACGCTTCCTTTGCTTTGGAAACAAGAGTGCTCAATCTGCATAAAAGCAGGCAGAGGCAGTGTAATGCGAAGCTATTGTCTCATACATGGAAGGCAAGAAAGTGAAGAGTTTAAATTCTGATGCTGGTTCTCACTGGCTTTCTGATCTTCTCTGACCTTGAATTTCTTCTGTTAACTGGAATAACATAATCGTATCTGCTGATTGAAACTGCTAGGTGGGTCAAATAAGGCAATACATTTAGTTCTTACTTAGTATTACATCTACAGTACAAATTAAGGCCCAAGAAACACAAATAATCAGGGGAATGATGATTGTGATGGAATGTAATTTAGTTTTCTCCACACAGTCCCAAAAGATTCAATATTGACTGGTGTTTGGGGTGAGTGGAACTACATAACAATGGAGTTGGGTCCCCTCAGAGATTTGCGACCAGTCCTCTCTTACCTGGACATTAGATGGGATTCCAGAGAGGGATGGGAGGAGGGGACACTTCATCTGTACACCAGTCCAGGTCTACCACTACATTCCAGGAGTGGTGGGAGGCATCAGTGCAGGACCAATATGAATCAATGGTTTTGCAAAGTTCAGGGCATTCACCGAATTGTAAAGGCAAAGATGGAGCAATGGTGTGCACTGCGCTAAGGCGTTGGGCATTTCTCCCTGAGATTTGATAACTGTGACCAGAGGATGTCAGCTAAAAACCAGGAATCTGAAATCAAGAGGTTTCTGGATTCAGCCCTGATCTTTACTACCGCTTAACCATGAGCACCCTGGGAGAAAGATCTGAGTCTTTTTTCCTCTACATTACTTTGCTTTTATCTATGTCTATATTTGCTTTATCCTTCTAAGATACTCACATTTATGTCTGTTTCTATTTCCAATACAGCAGTTGGCAGGATTTTCCTGTGAATGTCAGTTGGTTTAAGGGAATTTTTCTTTATTTGTCCTTATGTATTTTTCCTTTGCATTCCTCTTATTTAAGTTTTAAAAATGAGATGAAGTTAAACATTTATTTGAATTTCAGCTGTGATATTCTCTTTGATTGTGAGCCTATCTTGAAATTACAATTTGGATGGCATTTGTTTCATGACTTAAAATAATGTCAGATTACTTTAGTGGAAAATGTTAAATCAATGCCTTTTTGATGAATAGAACTATTACATTTGAATAATAAATAGGCTGTTCTTTGTTTTCATAAATAGCTGGGAAAAATCATAAACTCCTGTTATCTTCTGTCATTAAACTCATCTTGAAGATGTGTGGAGCCTACTTTAGAAATACTAACAAAAACAGATACATAAACCTAAATTATCCAAAGAGGAAAAAGAATTGTAAATATAGAGTATGAATAATTTATTTGCCATATATGAACACCCAGGAAGCTTACTGGGAAAGTACAGAAAGGAATCCAGCTCCCTAGTAATTAGTCAGTATAACACACTTCAATAAAGACATTAACCTTCGTGTTTATCTCAGATAAATTTGTCAGTTACCACATTGTCAATTTTCTTCTAAGGGCCATATGGGATAATTTATATTAAGTACAATGAATACCACACACTCTCTGAATGACACCTTGTGTATACAGAGAAATATATCCCAAGGAAATGAAATCAACACCATTGATTTAATCACTATAAAGGTAGTGGGTCTGATTTGAATGTTATGACTGGTTGTGCTAGTCTTACTAATTGTAGATCTCTATTAGTGAAAAAGTATGTCCCATATAAGTAAAGCTCTTCTAATTAAAGTGAAATTTTGCTTGATTTTTTATTTACCCACCTTTCTCTTAGAGGGAACTAGTTGACCCTCTTGGAAGATTACTTTCAGATTAGCAATTTCCTTCTAGGATAAGTTCTTGATCATTAATTTTATCAGTACTTTTAAAAGTACTGGCCTTTCAGGCAGAAATCAAGGAAACGGAACTCTGGGTGCTGATGATAAAATTATTATATTGTAAGTGCTATGTAAAGTACAGTAAAGAAGCAATTTAAATTCTGCTATCTAAGTACAATTGCTACTATTGGCAAATTTTTCTTTGCAGCCACTTCTGGATTCTGAGGGGGATGTGATATATAAGGCTATATATACACATATTATATAAATATATAACATATAAATATATGTAATGTATAAATATATAATATATAAATATTATATATATGGCATGACATGTAGAATATATGTAAAATTTTGTATAAATATCACCCTGCTTACCGCAAGAGCATTTTATTATATTATTAAATATTCCTTTTAAAATTTTGAAATAATTATTCCCAAGAATAGGGAGAAGCCTCAAGTACCTCTACAATTCATTCTTCCCAATGGTAACATTTTACATAACTGTATTATATCAAAGCCAGGAAATTCACATCAGTGCAATGTGTGCGTATTAGGACACAGACCTATCCCGTCAACATAAACATCTCACTCAGGCCAGTCGTTTATAAACACACTCATCACTCTGTTTTCCGCCATCCTTTATCTCTGGCAATCCACTGTCTTTCTCTCCATCTCTGTAACATTTTGATTCTGAGAGTGTCATATAAATGCAACCTTATAGTATGTTATTTTGAGTTGGCTGTTTCCCTCAGCATATGCCTCCAACAGACCTCCACCCTGTTGTGTGTATCTGTAATTTAATCCTCTTTATTGTTGGGCATCGTTCCATGGTGTTGGGAGCCGCAGCCCCGAGCCCGGTCGCCTCACTTGGCGGACGTGAGGCCTGTAGTAAAGAGTAAAGCCTGAGGTAGATTACCCCTCCCATCGAGCACGTTAGTTTCCTGCTTACCGCGTAAGCAACCCGCTCAACAATATAGTCTGCCTGGCAACTGATGATGTTAGCCAATCAGCTTGCCTTGCTTACTTTAACATGATTGGACACTGTATCCGTATATATACTGGTGCCACCCCTGGGGGGGAAGAAGAAGCCCGGAAGTAGAAGCCCAGAAGGAGCCGCGGGGAGCGGACCAAAGGAGGCTTCGGCTGGGAGCGATCCCAGGGCAGGCTGTACGGAGAAGGAAAATAAAAGAAAAGGTTGTCCACTGCCAGACTTTGTCGTGTGTCCTTCCTGCCGGCCAGGAGCGACATCGACATTTGGTGGCCCGTATGGGGACTGATCACCCCCGAGACGTGACAGCGGACAACGCTCCAGTACAGAGCTGCGAGACAGGTGAGTTGGGGATAAGCCTGGGCTCTGGGTGGCGCGCACCTACAGGGCTTTTAGACTCCCCTCAGGCTCACGCGTAAGTGGCGGATTCCTTGGGCCTCACGCGGTGAGTAACATATTAAAAGATGGGAAACATGCTAGGTAGCAACACTAAGAGCGAGGGTGGTTGTGGAGAAAGCTCTCAAGAGCTTACAAAAGTACGCAGGGTATTTGAGCAGGCCCAGTCAGGGAGCTCCCGAGAGGGGCCCGTCAAGGGGAACAAAGATGCTAAGGAGAAGGACGGGGCTCTAGCCTCGGAGTCGTCTGACTCCGAGGACGAGGGAAAGTTGAATGGCAAGGAGGCCAAAGAGACCAGCTGTCAGGAGCCTAAGTCGCTCGATAAGGAGTCGCAGGGTTCTTTCCCAGCGTTGCGCCGTGAATTGCGCTCCGCTCAACTTGGTCTGCGGAGGAGTAGGGAGCTCCTGAGCGCTCCCCGGCGCAAGAGGGAGGCGAAGCCTTCCGCCCCACCTTGGGGGCTGTTCCCGGAGGCGATCCCTCGCCGCGAGGCGGCCGCCCGGGAGCTCCCTTCCCCTTCGCCAGAACAGGAAGTGATGCACGGGCCCCCATTTTCCGCCCAATCACAGCCGCCGTCTTATGCTCCGCCGCCGGCGGGTCGGTATTTTTACAGGCGGCTTTGGCAGGGGGGACGTTTGTCTCATGAGGTACATCCACCACCTGGGATAGATAGTGGCCCCTACGGGATATTTCCTGTACAAGTAGCTATGGGCCAGGGACGCAATGCATGGGAGCCTTTTGAGATAAAGCAGATTAGAGAACTTAAAAATGCAGTTACAACCTTTGGGCCGACTGCGCCTTACACCATTGCCATGCTGGAGAAGCTGTCTTCTGGGCCCCTCACCCCCGCGGACTGGATTCAGCTGGCAAAGGCGTGTCTGCCCTCGGGCAGTTACCTGGATTGGCGAGCCTGGTACGCAGAGTTCTCTGCAGAGCAGGCTGAGAGAAACGCCAATCGGGGAAACCGGGGGTGGAACAAGGAAATGCTTATGGGAGAAGGTCGGCACGCTGATGATCAGACTCAGTTCCCCGGCGCTGTCTATGAACAAATCAATGCCATAGGGCTCCGCGCCTGGAAGCAGGTGAGTGGCGCCGGAACAGCCTCCTTGTGTCTTTCAAAAATAATTCAGGGTACCACAGAGCCATTTGTTGACTTTGTGGCCCGAATGCAAGATGCTGCCGATAAGATATTTTCTGATCCGGGAGTGGCTCGACCGCTGGTAAGGCAGCTGATTTTTGAGCAATGTACAAAGGAGTGCAAGGCGGCGATAGCTCCTCATAAGAACAAGGACCTCAACGCCTGGATTAGGATATGCAGAGAGATAGGGGGGCCGCTCTCCAACTCGGGAGTGGCTGCTCTCCTGGCCGCGGCTGTACAGCAGAGGGGACCTCGCGGGTTAGAAGGGGAATGTAAGGCTAAAGGGTGTTTTGCCTGCGGGGAGCCAGGACACATTAAACGTCATTGCCCAAACAATGCAGATGCTAGGCCTCGCCCTAGGAATGAAGAACCATATGTTTGTGGGCGATGCAAGAGGGGATCACACAAAGCTGAGGAGTGTAGGTCGGTCTTTGATGCTCAGGGCAACCGTATTTGTGGACGAGATGCTAGAGGGCCAAAAAACGGCCAGAGGGGGCCCCCTTCACAGGTGGGCCCCCGCCCCAGAGACAGGACAGCTCAGGATGGCAGCCTTCAACAAGGGCCACCCCTGGGTCAGCAGGTGTGGACCTCAGTGTCGCCTCCAGACTTA